ACTGGCCTAGGAAGTCCTTCTGGTACATAAGGCTGATGGTGGCAGCTGATGTTTCTTGAATGTTGGGCACATTTTTAAATAACACACTGTGTTTGATTACTCACCATTTTAATGTCAATGGGGCCTACATAGAACTGTTGGATTAACCACTCCAACCTCTCAATTTTGTGGGATATATTCAAATAATCCTGTGAGGTAAAGAACCGGTGACTGCTGAAGAAAATAATCTTAGCCACATTGCCTTCCCTATATTATGAATTTATATACAGTTGTTTCAATGTTTTGTTTCTCTAAATGTGTCCATTGTGTTTCAAGCAGGAAGTACATTTAGATTTTACTATCTAGTTAAAATTAAGACTTGCAAGTCTCAGCCTAATAGAATATTTTCCTTAAAAATCAGTTTGTTTGAGATTGCAGAATGTAGAAAAGGAATGAAATAGAAAACTAAAAGTTGAATCTTGGAAGTCTTGAATTAAAAAAAAAGTTTAATGTAATTTGTTGGAGACATCTTGAGTCATTGAGAGTTGGGCAGCATACAAGTTTTAAAAAAATATTGTGGTATCATTCATGGATATTACCTCAAGCATGGAGGTAAATCTGTAGAATCAGAATAACATTTAGTGATACTTTTAAGTTGCTTCCATACTTTCTGCTCCTAGAAAAGGAGTTGAAAATTTTCTCCTTACCCATAATTGATTTGTTTGAATTATTAATCATGGTTTTGACTATTTTTATTATTTACATGTAATTAGGGTGCAGCTGTTTGCGGTCCCAAACCGTATTTTTATCATTACCTATCCTAATCGTTCTGTGGACAGAAATATTGATGCCAATTGCAATATCATCATCCTTATTCCTGTTGCCTTACCTGCATATCTTTTGTATTATCTGCTATATTATGAATACAGCTGATCCAGAACCAACGTATTATAATAAGATTTTCTATACTGTCTTAAACAGTGTGACATGTAGCTTAACCACATTCTTTCTAGAGAGGAATGTCAGATACAAAACAGGCCAGATTCCTTTGCCCAGTTCCTTCCTACATATATGCTCTGGATTCTGAGACTTTATTCGAGTAGTGGCTTAGAGATTGAGGGCTACAATAGAGGGGCAAGCTATAGTGGACCTACTTTCCTCTGCAGAGGTCACACATAAGAAAGGAAGAAAACAATCAGGCTCCCCTGTCTTCCGCAAGGCTACTATGAAAGGACTGATTCCTCCTTCTGAATAAGAGCCAGAGAGGAATTGGGAATGGGTGAATGAGGGAAGCTCCTACTGGATGGTGAGAATGGCAGGGGAGGGTGGCTGTGAGTATGTGAGATAGGGTGAATGAGGGCGAGTAAGAGTTCTGTGTGAATGTGTTGTAGTGTATGTGAGTTTATGGCAGTGTGTAGGAAGATGGTGGCTGGTGAAGGCACTGAGAACTGGTGAAGTTATAGTGTCTCCAGGTGCCCAGCTACCCCTCCTGGGGATGGTTGCTGAGGACAATGGAAGGTCCCAGTCTCTGATTTGGGGGGCTTTGGTTTGGGGGATGGTGCTGTCATTGGGGGGGAATGGAGGTGCTTTTTTGGTAGCAATGGAACTTGCAAATGTATTATGGGAGACAGGGAGTGGGCTACCTTTGGGGAACATGGAATTGTTGCCATATATCAGTTTTGTGTTCAAGTTTCTTGGTCTCTACCATTGGTGGGATTCAGCCAGTTTGCACCTATTCGGGAGAACCGGTTGGTAACTTTCTAAGCACTTCAGAGAACTGGTTGTTGGAAGAAATCTCATTTTGGTTTTTTTTTCCACTTTACAGGGCTAATCCTATAAGGAAGGCAGGAAGGAAGCCTAATCTTTATTGTCCTGCTTACAGAAACTGCCTCTCTGGTTAATCCTTATTACATTGTAACAGCTAAGGTGAAGCGCCCATCAACGTGAATGAAGTTGAGTTGGCCATGCCCATCCAGTAACATGACCACCAGGCCCCACCTACCCTGCTTGGTCATTAGGGCAGAGAACCGGTTGTTAAATTATTTGAATCCCACCACTGGTCTCTACCCAGTACCCTGTTAGCAGACCTTCAGTAGCCCTGGCCTCTAATGCCAGATTAGTCTGCAATAAGGCATCCCTCCTCAGTGATTTAAATGTTGATAATAATGCCACTCTAGTATGCACCACTGAAATCTATCTGGCTCTGGAAAGGGGTGGTCCTTTTGGAAATATTCCAAGCAGGAGTTGGGTGTTGCATCAGCTGAGACTCTGAGGCAGGAGAGTGATGTTGTACCACAGATCATTGGATGTAAGATCCTATTCCTTAAATTGGGCTCTGGGGATAAGATGGGATTGCTGCTATTGTGCCAGCCTCCCTGCTGCATAATTAATTTCCTTTCCGGAGCTCGATTCCATTCTGGATTGCACCATGATGGCCATGGGCCAATCTCAGGTAAGTCAGAGCCCATCATGGGACAATGGTTATGCTCCATATCTGATGTTTCTGTTGGAGCAGTGGCTGTGTGATCTGAAACTGGGGGAGTTCTTGTTCTCTCCTCATGCTTAGCCATGGGTTTTTCTAGTGCCATTACACACTATAGGAAGATGGATCCATTAAATCATCTTCTAGACTATGTTGTGTGCAAACATGGTGAGCAATCTGGGGCTCCTCCTAGACTCACAACTCCATTCCTGAGCAGGTGGCAGTCACATCAGGAGGGCCTTTGCACAGCTCTGTGTTGTGTGCCTGTTGCACCATTTCCTGGATTGGAAGGATCTTCCTCACAGTTATTTATGCTCTAGTTATCTTCACATTGGACAATTATAACGTACTTTACATAGGGCTACTTTTGAGGGAGTTTCCATGAGCTTCAACTGGTGCAGAATGCAGCAGTGCAGATAATTATGTGTGCTCTGCAAATTGCACTGGCTGCCAATCTGCTTCAAGGTCCTATTTAAGGTGCTGGTTTGAACCTTTAAAATCATTGACGGCATGTAACCAGGTTGTCTGCAAGACTGTCTCCCTCCAATTACACCAGCCCATTCTTAAAAACCTCTAGTTAAGGAGCACTCACAATTTCTGGAGGCAAGCCATTCACTGATTAATACTTCTCAAATATCATACAAGGGTGGCTTTACTATGCCTGTTGCTATATTTCTGTTGTTTTAAGTTTTCAGCATAGTCTTGCTAAATTTTTAGGGAAAGAGAATATTCTATTCACAAGTAATCAACAATGTGTCTTAATCTCACAATGTATTTCTTATAGTGTGTTTCAACTTTCATCATTATGTTTGTGCAGAACAAAGATCAACTGGACAAGCAATCATCATCCTGGAAAAACTAACAGTACTTCCCTATATGATATAGTGGAAGAATTTGTTTAGATCTATTTGTCCTTGAAATACCAGAAAAATCAATTTCCTGATTTCTTACACTGTTTTGAACAAGTAATACCAGGCTTGGAAATAGAATCTTGAACTTCTAGGAGCAGGTCTTCCTGAAAACCCAAAATCCCAGCCTTCTTACTATTCAGCTATTTCTGATCCACAGAGGAAAAGAAAAAGAAAGAGAAATTACTCACTTGTAACTGTTGTACTTTCTGATGTCTTTCCCCTTTTCCCACCTAGAGGGACAGATGCATATGCAACCAGAAGCCTCTTCCCAACAGAAAACTGTTGTGGTTGTCTCCTAAACACGGGACTGGTGTGCATGGTGACCCACAATTGTAAATAATCAAACAAAGATTGCAGAGTTGCTAAAACGTCCTTTGTAAACTTAGAATCAGGTTTTTTTGGGGATACTTTTCTGAGACCGATGGAAAGACATGACAATGAATGTCTGGGGAAAGGGCTGAGAATGGATTGAGATTATCTCAAAGAACATCAGCTACAAGTGAACAAGCTTTTCTTTTTCAAGATGTCCTGTCCATTCCTAATGGGATGCAGGAAATGAGAACAGCAATTTCTCTTCCAAAACGGCAATTTCATGGGTAAACTTAATGAAAAAGACAGCATATGAGAGAATTTTGCAACTATATTAAAAATGTAATACAGAATGGTAGGATAAGTTAATAAAGTAAAGGCAGAAGATAGAGATTATTGCATTATCAATAACTAATCTGTTCTATATTGCATTTCAGTCTTTCAGTGGCACATCCTAAAATAAAAATATTGACTTCTTTACAACAAAGGACTAAGATTTCTATAGCTGAGAAGGGATTGTCATCTCCAGAGGTTTTTGTTGCATTGCTTGTTTGTTTGGGAAATTGTTCTAGGGTAATAGATTTATAATTCTTTCATAAATGTTAGTAAGCATGTAATACAAAGTCATAACTACTTCTTTTTCACAGCTGAACTTTGCAACCCAACATTTAATTTCATTCTGTTTTATGTTAGGACCGCTAAAATATTAACTATAATTTTCTGTGCAGAATTAATTTAACACCCATATCGGTAAATCTAAATTATTTTTTCCTGAGATATTCAACATTGTGTCAGAAAAAACTGTTAACTAGTATAAGTTCACACTTCTTTTTAAACTTACATGCCAGTCTTTTTAATATTCATGTTATCATANCTAAGTGTAAGACTTTACTTTTCTCCACATTGAATTTCATTTTGTTAGATAGGACCCAGTGTTAGATAGGACCCACCTCTGCTTCTACCATTGAGAAAATAACATGAATTTATCTTACGGTAAAACTGGCCTATTTCCATATCCTGAAAACATACTCTGATGCTGTAGAGGAGAAATGGCAGAAATAGTTATAATTGCAAAAAGTAGCTGTGGTCTTTCAGAAACAACTGATTGGCTGAAAATTAAATACGTAATCCTGCAAGACAATTTTCATACTGAACCAAGGTTGTAAAACAATGCAGACTAATCATCATTGGCATGTTTACACAAGTAGATAGATAACTGGAGTTTGACACTCTTGAAGGAAATAGACATTTTTTAATACTAAAGGACTAACTTGTTTTAGTTCTGAGAAGCGCAATATGGAATGGAAAGCCATACCAACCTGCCTATGAGGCACATGTTCTCGGCCTTCACTGGGTGAACGGGACCATCGTCGATCTCTGGATCGAGGCCGGCTATATTCATGCCTCTCTTGTGAATATCGCTCCTTGTCAGAAGATGTGTGATGGTGGTGATGGTGGTGGTGATGGTGGTGGTGCTTCCGATCCTTAGGCCTGCCTCGCTCTTGATCCCTTTCTTTGGGAGGTAGGTCAGCTGACTGTGTGGTCAGACTGAGGTCTGTACCCAGACCTGCCAGTGAGAAAAACAAAACAATTTAAAATCCAATGCATTTGTTTTAAATGAATGATATGGAGGATATTACGATCACCTGTTAATGCTCTGCATAACAGACCAGCAAAAAAAGGGAGGAAAGTATGACGAAATGCTGAAACACTGAAGGCACATTTTACTTGGCTACTTGGATAGTCAAAGGTGATCATTATATACTTTGGTGTCCAAGATTTAAGACTCCAAAGTATATATTACATTCTACAGAATAAATTGCTTTTCTGGGCTATCTTCGCCCAAGTGAGCATTTAGATCAAACAAAACTGAATAAGGAGAATAATTTAATACATTGGTGTAATGTCTGAACTTGGACCTCCATGCAGCCAAATTAAGATTGCTTTTCAGTGAACTCCCTACTCAGATGCTTAGCTGATGAAATATTTGAAAGATGCTTGTAAGCTATATGAATATTCACTGGCTAACTTCATATGGTAGACTAATACTAAATTGGGATTAACAAATCATATCTCTGTTCGCATAATATTTATTTATTTTATTGGAGTACCTGACTCCCAGGAACGCTGGCTAGTTTACACTTCTAACAACAGGAAACAGAAAAAGAGAGGAAAAAGTATGTCCTATGCTATGTCCAAACAAATGAGACATATTGTAGTTCAGCATGATGGCCTGATTCACACATTGTCAAATAATGGCTTCTAACAAAATGCTGAACTCCAACTTCCTTTCTCTCAATTTTAACCATTTTAGTGGTTTAACAGTCTTATGTGACCCGGGCTCTAAGTTAGTGTTTGGGGAAGACTAATTTCCCCTCCCAGAACAAGGAATACGGGTAGTGTTGTTTGTTCAACAATGGTGTGGGTCTGGAAATCTGGAACGATGATGGCCTCAGAAAAGCTGCTTTATGGCCCGTAAGACACTTCTGACCATTGCAAAACATTGCAATACCACTTCTGCAGTCACATGATTGTGATTTGGTGCTTAGCAACCTGTTCACCAGTTGCCAAGTGCCCTGCATTAATGTGATTGCCATTTACAAACTTCTCTGCCAGAAAGTCAATGGAGAAGATAGCTGGAGAAGTTGCAAACTGTGGCTGCCTGTCAAGAGGGACTCCATCCGATCTCTGGGGTTGTCTGAAAGAGCTATCTGCTGAAGGGAGTTGAATTCCTTTGGTGGGATGCAGAAATGAACGTGCAATCTTTTAGATTTCAGCTCCCTTCAAACACCCTGTCAAAGGAGTTCCCTTCTGTGCACAGAGGATAGCTAAGCTCCTTCAGCAGAGTGCAAAAACAAAGCTAAAATTCTGTGCCCCATCAAAGCAGTTATTTGTGCATGGGGAGGAACTGAAATCCTTTGGCCAGCCCGAGATGAGAGGGAGCTGAAAGCAGACAGTGGAGAAGCAATGTAGTGATGTAAGGAGTGTAGAGTGTCTCAGGTGGGCGGGTGAGTGGCTGCGATGCCTTACACAGGCTGTGTACTTAGTGCCTCTTCATTTAAAGGCTGAAAATTCTGTTGATTTTGGTAGGGAGGATTTTCAGCTCCTGAGCAGAACCTCCTAGGGTCTCCTACAACCTCAAAACACACCACTCTCCTTACCTGAGACTTCATTTGCTTAACAACCAGAACTGGAAATACTGGAATTATAGTCATTAAGCAAATCAGTCACATGGACATATCATTTAACTGTAGTTTTACTCCATGACTGAGATTCCCATCTCAATTGTGGTTTTAAGTTGAGGATTATCTGTGAAGACTCTTGAGGAATCATTTCTGTCATTGAACATTCAGACGTCTTAGATGGAGTTACTTAACAAGAGAAGGGAAGCCAGTATATTCAAAACAAATAATTATTTTCAAGCATTTTTTTCCTTTCCAAAATTATCAGTAAACCCTGTCTGTTCCTCATAGGCTTTCTTAGAAAATAAAAACGGGGGGAGGCTGGCACCCAGTGTTTTCTTTGAAATTATGTCCACCTGAGATGAAATGAGAAATAACTTCCTGGAACACCACAGGCTTCCCAATCCCTTCCCCAGAATAAGCTTCCATTTGCCTTGAATTGTTTTTACCTGTGTCCACATCAGTGTATCGACTCAGTGAACGTTCTGATGTACGGTGGGTCCGCTCCCGTCGGCGGTGATGTCTCTGGCCGTCCTCTGGAATTACTCTTTCTAGAGAGTAATCATCCAAGCGTGTACCTTTGGAGCGTGAGTGGCCCAACATGGAGGCAGAGCGTTTCATGGGACTTGTATCGGGAATGGTCTGGAGAGAGATAGAAACCCAGTATAACAACATTAGGGGAGCCTTACAAGAAAGCAAAAGCCAATAGGTTTTGTAAAGTGTGGGATAAAGTTACAGAAACAGGCTACTATTCAGCTAAATGTACTCCAGCCAGAGAAATAGAATTATATCCCATCAGACTGGTTATCCAGTGCATCTTTCTATTCTCTAATACTTACAAAACTATAGGATATATAAAACTGTTGATACATATACCAGTCTCTCCTGTCATTGTTCTATGCCTAAATTATGGATTAGGACATCTTGTTACATCCAACTGAGAATCCCTCCTTTTCCAATGAACTCAGGAATACATTACAAATGTAGCTAAGAAGAACATAACTGCCATAATGCATTCCTCTCTTGAATGAGCTAGAAAAGAAGGCACATTTTATATGAGCAGCAACTCAGCAGAAGTTTTTTTGGTTATGGATGCTCTTAACTGGAGATGAAAGCATAAATTACTTTCTCTGGCCAATGTCATGAAAAAACTTTGGCCAAAGGAAATATATATGAAGAGATTGCCTATTGCAAAAGAAAGAAAAAATATTGACATCCTTAAATTAAACAAATTAAATAGTATTCCATACACTCTATAACTAGTTCAAGCTTCCACAGATAGAAATGTTGGGGGAAGAGTAGCAATGAAATGAACTTTGTACCAATGCAACTGAAGCTCTGTGTCTTTTGTACATGTGTTGTCTGCGTTGTGAATATTTTTTCTTTCTTTTGCAATAGGCAATCTCTTCATATATATTTCCTTTGGCCAAAGTTTTTTCATGACATTGGCCAGAGAAAGTAATTTATGCTT